AATAAACCCGATCTCTGCTTAAGATCACGCGCGTTGTTCTCAAATTCAAAGCGAAATAAAGCAACAATGGAGTCAATTACAATTAGCTTAATAGGGGGAAGGAAAGAGGACGGGATAAATGGCCCACGCCGTACACGAACACCTTGCCGTTGCGGGTAGCAGCGACTGCGATTTCTTGCACCAGAACTTCCAAGGCTAGGGTTTTTGTAGATGTGTTAGGGGGCTGACCAGCCGGAATTAATGGCTGGCCGCCGGCCGGCGAAACCATAGGGCTGTTTCTCTCTCTAGATCGCTCAAATCGCCTATTTGTATTCAGTTGTATTCGAATGTATTCTTCAGCTGTATTCACTTGTATTCAGGTTTAATCAGTTGTATTTAACTATTTTATTCAGCAGTAGTTAGTTGTATTCAAGTATTTTATACAACTATATTCAGTTGTAGTTAGTTATATTCAACTATTTTATTCAGCAAAAGTTAGTTGTACTTTGTTGCATTCAAGAGTTTATTCAGCTGTATTCAGTTGTATTTTTGTTGTATTCAAGTGTTTTATTCAGATGAATTAAGGTGTATTTTGTTGTATTCAACTGTATTATGCATATGCATTTCTCTTTATTCAGCTATAATCTTATTATGTATCTTTCAAATACAGATTAATGAGGGACCATTTTAGTTCGTTGAGTTAAATTAGGAGAATATCATGTGAATTTTATTTTCTTCCGTTTTTAGCGCAGATATGTTACTGTATTTAATGTTAATGTCGCTTGAATACAGCTAAATACATGTCAAACTTAGTTGGAATTCAAGATTTTACGCCTATATTTTTTGTTATATTAATGAATACAACAGCTTAAATACATGAAATATATTGTATAAAAACATAAAAGGTATCTATAACACGTAATATAGCAAAAGGTATCTATAAATGGCTAATTAGACCAAAAAGATGGTGCTTTATGAAAAATTCCCCAAAACCACTGCTTTTGGGCCTAGGAATTTTGTGAATCAGGTACGGTAATGTTGCTTTCAGGAGAAATCTGCAGAGGAAAATCAAGTGCTTAATACCAACATCTTAGGTAACCTAATGGAAAAATAAGCTAAAGCATTAAATGGATATACATACTAATGTAACTTTAGCAATAATTGAGTAAATTAATGATAAAAAGCTGCGGTGCAAGAAAAACTAAAGTGGCTTTACTTCATGAATAAATGACACAAGGTGACTAGCATTCAGTGAGCATCTCATAATGTGATAGCGCACATATTTTGTGCTAAATGTTACCTTAAATCTTAGCATTAGAACACAATCGCACACCTTCACCTGCAAAAAAGCATTTAAACATAAAGAAAAATAATTCAAGGAATGAACTTTAAGCCTGGTCAGACACTCTAAAGCTACCAAGCTTCCTCTTTTCACACTCTTTACAGTGAACAAAAAGATGGAACAAATTCCTATTATGCAGGGGATAGTTGATCAATGGAATGTAGGTTACTTTTAGTAGAAGAAGCTCATATTGTATAAAGCCTTAACTCAATATGTTCGTACATGAATAGAAGAAAATCAGCTAGTGAAAGTATATTGCAATGAGTAAATTATATCCATTACTTAAAGAACAATTTGTGTATGGA